CCCCCCATGTCCCCAAGGGGCCACCCCCTCAGTGTCCCCCATGAAGGTGCCACCTCCTCAGTGTCCCCCATGAAGGTGCCACCCCCTCAGTGTCCCCCATGAAGGTGCCACCTCCTCAGTGTCCCCTCATGTCCCCAAGGTGCCACCCCTGGAAGTTCTCACCGTTCTTGAAGGCCAGGAACTCGAAGATGCTGTGCACGATGGAGACCACGATGGTCAGGGCCAGCAGGTAGGGGTTGGTCTCCAGGAGGGCAACCTGGAAGAGGCACCAGCCACCTCTCCCAGGCTCCATCCCACCCTCCCAGGAGGACCCACCCAGACCTGGGGCACCAGGGACCCCGTGAGACCCTCCTGGGACTGGGAACCCCCCCAGGAGGGACCCAATGGAGGGGGAAGTTCTTGTGCCTGGGAACCCTCCATGAACACCAAGAGGGACCCCCCAGGAATCTTCTCCTCAGGGACCTTGTGGGATCCTGCTCAGGACAGGGACACCCCAAAAAGGACCAGGAGGGACCCTGTAGGACACCCCCATAAGCAGGAGAAGGACCCCAAGGGAGGAGGAGGAGGAGGAGAAGGACCCCAAGGGAGGAGGAGGAGGAGGAGAAGGACCCCAAGGGAGGAGGAGGAGGAGGAGAAGGACCCCAAGGGAGGAGGAGGAGAAGGACCCCAAGGGAGGAGGAGGAGGAGGGGGAGAAGGACCCCAAGGGAGGAGGAGGAGGAGAAGGACCCCAAGGGAAGACCCCCAACCCCACATTCTCTCACAGCTCCCTCTCCTTCCTCCCTCCCCCCAGGCCCCTTCCTCACCTTGACCGAGTCCTGCTCCTCGTCCGACTGCTCGTACAGGTCTTCTCCAAGGAAGTTCCAGGGGGACCTGGTGCTCTGGGCTGCGTAGAGCTGCCACCTCCAGAGGGACAAGGGGCAGAAGGACAGACGGAAGGGCAGGCGCTGGAGGGTCTCGTTGATGGGGAAATAGTCCTTCTGGAGGTTCCAGTAGTCGTTGAAGTAGAGGATGGGGAAGTAGTCACCACTGATGGCATCAAACTTGACGTCTGGGAAGAGGGAGGAACCACTGGTGGGGACTGGGAGAGGGAACTGGAGGAACTGCTGGGGGGAATGGAAGTGTGGGAGATGCTCCTGGTTCTCCATGGAAAGGCCAGAAACCATGGAAAGCCTCCTCAGATCCCACCGCACAGCCACCTCAGATCCCCCTGGAAAGCCACCTCAGCTCCCCCTGGAGAGCCACCTCAGCTCCCCCTGCACAGCCACCTCAGCTCCCCTGGAGAGCCACCCTCAGTCCCCTGGAAAGCC